TTTTTTTAAAAAAGGGTCGTCTATTATATGTAAAGATGACGCTTTTTTGTAAAAAAGGGTCGTCTATTGTGCAGTAAAGATGACGGATTTTTTTTAAAAGGGTCGTCTATTATATGTAAAGATGACGCTTTTTATAAAAAAAACCGTCATCTATTATATGTAAAGACGACGGTTTTTTTTTAAAAGGGTCATCTATTATATGTAAAGATGACGCTTTTTATAAAAAAAACTGTCGTCTATTATATGTAAAGACGACGGTTTTTTTTAAAAAAAAGGTCGTCTATTATATGTAAAGATGACGGTTTTTTTTTATAAAAGCGTCGTCTTTTAAAACACGCTAAAAAATGGCCGTTTAAGTGAATTCGCGCTCAACAAATTTTCAAATTTTCACCTGTCTTTGAAAACCTTATCTCTCATTAACAAGCGTCGTCTTTTAAAACACGCTAAAAAAAGGCTACTTAAGTGAATTTGCGCTCGACAAATTTTCAGATTTTCCCCCGTCTCTGAAAACCTTATCTCTCCCTCCTTGAAACCCTCCTGCACTCTCTAAAACACCCTCATGAAACTCTCTACAAAATCATCAAAAAATCGATATCAATGAAAGAGTTGAGAGATTTTCGCAGATCCATAAGATGTAGAGGGAGGTTCTGTATTTGAGAATCAAAGCTGGTTGAAAGGTTTGATTTGAAAGTCACCTAATCTCTCAATACCCTTCTATATCTTGCTAGTGAATTCTGGATTAGTCTCTTTGCGGTTCTAGTATGTTCTTTGTCTCCCTGATTTCAAATTTTCTGTCTCTCTTGATTTGTCTGGTTTGTTTACATATATTTTTTTTATATTTCTGGTTTCTTTTTAGATTTTCTGATTTTATTATCAGGAGATGAGGAGGAAGCTTGCAGATTTATAACTTTTTCTTTTGCAGGTTTTCTATGTGAGTCGTATGTTTTTTTGTTGTTGAAAATTTGTTACCTTCTCGTTTCACTATCATTTTATTTATATATTTTTTCTTTTGCAGGTTCTCGATGGTCTTTTTTATGCTCATTTTACAAGTTTTCTATGGAAATATGGTCCAATGGTAAAATTTCTCTTCCACCTAATTTTTTATGTTTATAATCTTAGC